CAGGGATATGGGGACCACAAACCCAAATCCTCCACGGCGGCGCAGGAGGTGAAAACCCTGGATGGGATCTACACCGAACAGGTCAGGGGACACCCCCAGGGTTTGGGGTGGGGATGAACGGGGTTTGGGAGAGCTGGGGCACCCATGGGGAATCATTTGGGGTTTGTGAGGCCATGCCCAGCTGGTGACACCTGTGGGGTCAGAGAGAGGGCACCCATGGGTCCCTCCTCTGAAACAATTTGGGGTGGCTGAGACTTCACACAGCTCATCCCAGCTGCGGGGTGAGGGAGGGAGGTGTGCAGGGCCCTCCCCTAAAACAAACAGGGAGACTGAGGCTGTGCACAGCTCATCACATCCATGGGACTGTTCCCAAAACAAACAGGGAGACTGAGGCTGTGCACAGCTCATCACATCCATGGGATTGTTCCCAAAACAAACAGGGAAACTGAGGCTGTGCACAGCTCATCACATCCATGGGACTGTTCCCAAAACAAACAGGGAGACTGAGGCTGTGCACAGCTCATCACATCTGTGGGTGACAGAGCACATCGAGGCCATCCCCTAAATAATTTGGGGTTTGTGAGGCCATCCCCAACTCATCACACCTGTGGGGTGATGTGTGTGAATCCCTCCTTTAAATAAATCCAGGGAAACTGAGGCTGTGCCCAGCTCAGCACACCCATGGGTGATGGAGCACATCGAGGCCATCCCCTAAATAATTTGGGGTTTGTGAGGCCGTGCCCAGCTCGTGGCACCCATGGGTGATGGGGAAGGGACACCAGGGCCGTCCCTCAAACCCCAGGGCACCTGAGGTCCTTGTGATGCTCCGTGCAGGGCTGGATTCCAGCAGGCAGGAGGGATCCCCGGGAGGGAACCCTGGGAGCGATCCCCAGGAAGGCTCCGGATCACCTCAGGTCCCCTTTTCCCTTTCCATGGGCAGTGTCCACTCCTGGGGGACCCCTTCCCATTCCATGGGCCATTTCCACTCCCTGGTGCCCCATTCCCATTCCATAGGCTATTCCCTGGTGACCCATTCCCATTCCATAGGCTATTCCCTGGTGACCCATTCCCATTCCAGGTGGCCATGGGCTATTCCTATTCTCAGTTCCATAGGCTATTCCCATTCCCGGTTTTCCCATTCCAGGTAGCCATGGGCTGTTCCCATTCCCAGTTTTCCCATTCCAGGTGGCCATGGGCTATTCCCACTCTCTGGTGATCGCCCGGGACGAGTCGGAGGCAGAGCAGGAGAAGCTGCGGAAGCTCCCGGAGTACAACCCCCGCACCCTCTGAGGGGCCCCGATCCCGATCCCGATCCCGATCCTGGTCCCGCTTCTCCATCCCGGCCGCCGTTCTCCCTCCCCATTCCCACATTCCTAGCCCTCGGTGGGGTCATCCCCACCCCCATTCCCGGCTTTTGGAATTCCCAACTGCAGCCGGACCTTCCGGCACCTCCCACCCCGGGTTTTGTAGGGTCTTGCCTTGAATTATTTTTATTTTATTTGTATTTTTCCGCAGCTTTTTTTTACTGTTTCCCGTTTTTCCAGCCCCAGATCTCCCACAGCTGCCGGCTCAGGATCACTTTGGGGATCTGATCCCAGCTTGGGATCCCTTTAGGGATCTGGGATCCCTAAAGAGCAGCTGCCAACGCCTGGTTTTTCCCCTATATTCCCATTTTTTCCCCCAGTATTCCCATTTTTTGCTGGTTTTCACTACTTTGGGTGCTACAGTTTTTGGGATTTCTCCCCCTCCCACCCCTCCAGCATCCGCAGGGATCCCGGATCCCATCCCAGCAGCATTCCCGGGCTCCCCTCCCCGCCCTCGCCCACCCCGGGGACATCTCAGGGATCACGAGGGGAGTCCCAAAGGAATTTTTTTTCCCGGGAATTCGGGTTTTTTGTTCCTTCTGGCGGATGGTTTGGCCCGGGATCAGCCGGAATTCCCGATCCCCAGTTCCCTCCGTGCCAGGTCACTGTGCTGGAATCTCGAGGTGCCTTCAGGAGCAGAGCCCAGCTCTGCCCCGCGCCATTCCCGCTCCCTTCGGGCCGTTCCCAGGAATTCTCCTGGATTTTTCCATGGATTTTGGCTCCTTCCCATCTCCCCCGGGGCGGCGCTCGGGGAGTTTGCAGTAAAAAAAAAAAAAAAAAAGGGTTTTGGTCAATTTTTGGGGTTCGGGGTTGTTTTCCAGGGGGTTTGGAGAGGGGAGATCCCAACCAGCTGGAAAATCCCAAATCCCACTTTTTCGGCAAGATTTAGGATTTGGGGGTGGGAAATCACCAAAACCCTGCTTGGAGCCCCGAAAGCCTCGGGGGGGCTGCTGTGTCCACATTCCCGAGGAATTTCTGAGTTCAGGAAGGATCCAGGGGAGCCATTCCCACATTCCTGAGGAATTCCCGAGTTCAGGAAGGATCCGGAGGAAACATTCCCAAAGGGGCTATTCCTGCATTCCCAAGGGGCCATTCCCACATTCCCGAGGAATTCCCAGCTCGGGAATGCTCCAGGATGGGCTCACAGAGGATCCAGGGAATTTTGAATTCCTTGGGGTAAAGTGTGGCCAGGTCGAGGCCGCTGTGTCTCCCCTCGGCTCCCGTGGGTTAGAGTGTGAAAAATTCCCATTTATCCGTTTCAATCCCAGATTTTTGGCATTTTGGAGTCCTGGCTTCTTCATTTTTCAATATTACATTTATACTTTTAATTTTTTTTTCTATCTTCATGTTTTTATTTTTACTTTCTTTTTCATGCTGGTTTCTCTTTTATTTCATCAAAATCTCATTTTAATTCCTAATTTTTTCTTTGGTTCTCATTCTAAATTCAACTTTGAACTTCATTTTTTTTCTTTCTCTTTTCTATTTTATTCCATCAAAGTTCCTTCGTTTTAATTTCTACCTTTTAATCTATTGAATTTAACTTTAAACTTCATCTTTTCTATTTCTCCTTTTTCAATTCTGTAATTCACCTTTTCATTTGTATTCCTAATTTTTAACTGCTTAATTTTTAAATTATGCTTTTAATAATTTTTTAATTCAAGTTCAATTTTAACTTTTTAAAATATTTCTTACTCTAATTTTCCATTTAAATTCAACTTTAATATTTATTTTATATTTTCCCTCTTAAGTTTTAATTCCATTTCCTTTTTATTGTACTTTTCATTTTTTATTTTTAACTTCGCTCTTTAATTCCTCCTTAATTTTTAACGTTGGTATTTAAATTTGAACTTTTATTTTTTCTGTTTGTAACATTTAATTTCTTTTTCTTCACTCCGTATTTTTCTATTTTCAGAATTTCCATCCTTTTTTTTTAAAAAAAAATCTTTTTTATTTGAAATGTTTATTTTTTTAATTTTTTTATTTCTTTTTTTTCCCCCCGTTTTTTTCCTTCTGTTCCCAAATCCGCCAGGCTCCATCCCAAAGCGTTCCCACTCCCATTTTTCTATCTGGAATTCCATAGGGACTCAGCTCTGGGATCGGGGGTTCCTGTCCCGTTTTCCCCCTGGAATTCCACAGGGATGGGGCTCTGGGACTGGGGGTTCCTGTCCCTGTGTGGGGTCGCTCCAAGGGAATGGCCGTGGATTCCATCCCTCTGGAATTCCAGCAGGGCTCAGACCCAACCCTGTCCAGCTCCCGCTCGGAGACAGGGATGGATTCCAGGGGTGGAATGGGAATGGGAATGGGAATGGGAATGGGAATGGGAATGGGAATGGGAATGGGAATGGAGCTGCCCCAGCCCTGGGGCCCAGCACAGGCAGGAGCTGGAGCTGCTGGAGCCAGGCCAGAGGAGGTTGCAGGGTGATCAGAGGGATGGAGCAGCTCCACTGGCACGAAAGGCTGGGAGAGCTGGGAATGTTCACCTGGAGAAGAAAAGCTCCAGGGAGAGTCAGAGCCCCTTCAAGGGCCTGAAGGGGCTCCAGAAGAGCTGGGGAGGGACCAGGGACAAGGGATGGATGGACTGGACACAGGGAATGACTTCCAGCTAGAGAGGAACAATTTAGATTGGGATACTTGGGATAAATCCTTCCCTGTGAGTGGGGAAGGGGCTGGGATGGAATTCCCAGAGCAGCTGTGGCTGCTCCCCTGGATCCCTGGAAGTGTCCAAGGCCAGGCTGAACAGGACTGGGAGCAGCCTGGGACAGTGGAAGGTGTCCCTGTCACTGGGAATGGATGAGCTTGAAGGTCCCTCTGTTCCAACCATTCTCTGATTCCATAATTCCATGATTCCCTGATTCCATAACTCCCTGGCTCAATAATTCCCTGATTCCCTGACTCTGTAATTCCGTCATTCCCCGTTTTCCTGATTCCATGTGTGTTTCCCCACGTGGATCTTGGCACCGGCGCCCCACCCGCCCCCATTCCCCATTTCCCATTCCCCACCAGTTTAACCAGTCCAGCGTTCTTCCTGTGCTGGGAAAGCCCCGCAGAGCCACCTCAGCCCGGATTTATTTCCTCCACGGAAGGCGTTCGGCAGGGGCAGGGCGGGGACCGGGGCAGGAGGGGACAGGAGGGGACAGGAGGGGCCGGAGCCACCTCAGGGCACCACGTGCCACCACTTGAAGGCGAAGGGCTTGCGGCGCACGTTGGTGCCGCAGTGCACGTCCCCCGACAGGACGTGGTAGGAGAAGAAGTCGTCGATGAAGGTGCAGGAGAGGCCCAGCGGCTCCAGCAGCTCCCGGACCCGCTGCTCCAGGCAGCAGCGCCCGCCCACCACGGGCCCGAAGGGTTTGGGGATGCCCAGGTGCCGGCCCAGCACCAGCATGTTCACCTGGAACAGCGCCGACATTGCGGCACGGATCGGGGCCAGGGGACATCCCGGACCGGGGAGCATCCCGGCACCGATCCTGGTCCCGATCCCACTCCAGGGAACATCCCGGCCCCTATCCCGCTGCAGGGAAATCTCGACTCCGATCCCGGCCCCGATCCCACTCCAAGGAAATCCCGGCCCGGGGAAATTCCGTCCCCGATCTCGCTCCAGGGAAATCCCGGCCCCAATCCCGCCTCGGGGTCATCCTGGCCCCTGTCCCACTCCAGGGACATCCCGGTTCCGATCTCACCCGGGGAAATTCCGACCCCGATCCCGGCCCCGATCCCACCCCGAGGAAATCCCAGCCCTGATCACGCTCCAGGGACATCCCAGCCCCGATCCTGTCCCCGACCCCATTCTAGGGAGCTCAGGGGTGCTGCTACCATGTTCGGGAAAAAGGCCTCTGCCCCCGAGGTGGAGTCGCCCTGGAAGAGCTGCGGGATGTCCAGGATGTCCGGCTCGGCCAGGCCCAGAGAGCGCTTCAGGATGTCCCGGTTCCAGCTGATGCAGCTCTGGGAGCCGGGAGGGAGAGAGGGAGGGAGGGTCAGGAGGGAGAGGGAAGAGAGCAGCGAGGGGAGGGAGGGACAGGGAGATGGAGAGTGGGATGGACAAGGAGATGGATGGATGGATGGATGGATGGATGGATGGATGGATGGATGGATGGATGGATGGATGATGGATGGATGGAAGGAAGGCTGGACAGAGGGAAGAATGGAGGGAGGGAAGAATGGAGGGAGAGAGGGAGGGGCAGAGCGATGTGGAGATGGATGGCTGGGAGGGTGGTGATGGAGGATGGGTGGAGGGATGGAGGGGAGGATAGAGGGACGAGGGAACAAAGGACATGGAGGGAGCCATGGATCGTAGCCTCCTGCTCCCGCCCTCACCTGGGCGTAATCGTTGAACTTGCGGAGCTCTTCGTTAGCCAAGATCTCGTTTATGGTCGGCTTGGGCACCCTGTCCAGCCCTGCTGGGATGGAGCCAGGCTGGAATTCTGCCCCAGCTCAGCCGGGATGAGGACTCCAGCTCTGACTTCAGAGCTCCATCTCATCCAGGTAATCCAATCCATGCACCTTTTAATTAATTCATTAACTCTGCTCCATTGTGCCTCCACTTCCCAGACAGTTTTCAGAGTCCATCAACCTTCCCCACCACAGTTTGCAGGAAAATGGGAAAACAAAAGCATGGAGCTCCATTTCCCATGCTCCCCTACCCTGGAACATGGCGGCCTCGCCGAACCCCTCCTCCTGCTTCTCCTTGAGCAGCTGGTAGCAGGCACTGGGGCTGGCCAGGAGCAGCCGGAATCCCTGTGGGGCAGGACGAGCTCAGGGACGGCTCTGGGGGTCCCATCCGAGCTTTTCCCACTCCCTGGATCCGTTACCTTCCGGTCGGGCGCGGGGACAAAGCTCAGGAACTCATCCACGTGCCCGACCTGGAGCCAGTCCGAGAAGAGCTCCACGGGCGCCTGCACCTTCTGGGCCACCAGAAAATCCCGCACGGCCTTGGCCATCCTGCGCCCACCCAGCCTGGGGGAGCACAGGGGGTTGGGGGGTCGGGAAATCCTTTTTGTGGGGTTTTCCTGCTCCTGCCCAGCCGGGGAGGGGGGGAGCTGGGAAATCCTTTTTTGGGGTTTTCCTGCTCCCGGCTCACCTGGGGAAGCTGCTGCCGATCAGGATGCGCCCCAAGGGGTACTCCTTGCCTTGCACTGTCACGGGTGGGCTCACCTCCAAATTCCCAAAGGAATCCAGGCTGGAAGCGCCTTCCGGAGCCTGCCGGGCCACGTAGCCAAAATCAGGGCCCTGGATGGGGGAAAAACAAGAGGGAATGATTTAAAAAAATGCAGCCGTCAGCACTGAAGTGCTGCACCCCCAAATCCTCTGTGCTGGAGTTTCCCACTCCGAAAATGCAGGAAATAAAGGGATTTATCTCCGTTTTTTAAGGGATTTATCCCAGTTTTTAAAGGGATTTATTCCAGTTTTTAAAGACATTTATCCCCGCTTTTAAAGAGATTTATTCCAGTTTTTAAAGGGATGTATCCCCGTTTTTAAAGGGATATATCCCAGCTTTTAGAGGTTTGCCAAGCTGGGCAAGGCAGAAGGAAGGGGCTGGATACCAGGATGCTCCTGACGGGAAAATCCTTCAGGCCACGGTCCCGGGGCGAGTCAAAGACCACGGGGAAGGTTTTGTAAGGAGCTTGGACGTAGCCGAACTCCATCTCATCCTGGAGAAGGGATGGAGAATTTTGGGACCCTCCCAGCACTGCTGCGGCACAGAAGGGCCGGGCAGGCGCTGTTCCCACCTGGATCCAGCGGTCCTGGCGGTTCTGTGGCACCGGGCACACGGTCAGAGGGCACTGTGCCTGCTCGGCCAGCATGCCCACGGCCGCCACGAACTCCTCGTTGCCATCCACACTGGGGAAAAACGGGAAAATCGGGATTTGGGAGTGGGTCTGGCAGCGGGCAGGGTGGGAGCAGCCAGCACACACCTGCAGACAAAGACCTCGAGCGGTGCTGCCGTGTTGGGCGTCATGATCCAGGGAGCCACACGGAAAACCACGGAGTCCGTGAAGATCGGCGACTCCAGAAGGCCCTGGGGTGGTGGGGATGGAGTTTGGGATCTGTCCCCATTATCCCACCCTCCTGGGATGGCAGGGATGGAGTTTGGGATCTGTCCCCATTACCCCAGTCCCCCCTCCTGGATGGTGGGGACAGAATTTGGGATCTATCTCCACTATTTCAACCCACCCTGGGATTCCAGAGATGGAGTTTGGGATCTGTCCCCACTGTCCCAGCCCCCTCTGGGAGAGAAAAATTGAGGGGAAAGTGGGAAAATGGGGGTTCTGCGATGGCAGGGATGGAGTTTGGGATCCACTCCCTGTTGTTCCAGCCTGCCCTGGGATGGTGGGGATGGAGTTTGGCATCTGTCTCTGCCATGCCAGCCCCCCTGGGATTACGGGGATAGAGTTTGGGATCTGTCCCCATTGTCCCAGCCCCCTCTGGGAGAGAAAAATTGAGGGAAAAGTGGGAAAATGGGGGTTCTGTGATCGTGGGGATGGAGTTTGGGATCTGTCTCCCCTGTCCCAGCCCCGCTGGGATCATAGAGATGGCGTTTGGGATCTGTCCCCACTGTTCCAATCCCCTGGGATTACAGGGATAGGGTTTGGGATCTGTCCCCATTGTCCCACCTCCCCTGGGATTATGCAGATGGAGTTTGGAATCTGTCCCCCGTCCCACTCCCCGTGTCCCCCAGGCGGACCTTCTCGGGGCTCTCGAGCAGGGTGACGTGCAGGGACACGAGGCCGGAGAAGGCCAGGTCAGGGAAGGCCAGGCCCTCCACGTAGAAGATGCTCTCGTGGCAATGCCGGCTCGGCCGCACGCTGTAGGCCAGCTTGGAGCCCCCCAGGACGTGCCTGAACTTCTCCAGCTCCCCACTGCCTGTGGGACACGGACACTTCAAGCCCCAAACCCACCCCTGTCCCCAAACCCGCCCCAACCCCGCTGGGCTCAGCTCGACTCCACCGCGGGGCAGTGGAGAAGCAGCGCAAGGATTTGGGGTTGATCCCAGAGAGCCAGCGGGTCCGTGCCCCCCCAAATTCCCACAAATTCCCACAAATCCCCCCAAATCCCCCCAAAAACCCCGGCGCTCACTGCCACCATAGAAAACGCCGATTTTGTCAGCGTCACCAAAGTCCACGTGGAGCAGCAGGCGGTGCCCGGTGAAGATGGCGCGGGGCCCGCGTGTCCTCAGCACCAACTGTGCCATGTCCTGCAGGTCTGGGGAAATGAGGAAAAATCAGGGAAATGGGGAAAAATCAGGGAAACGAGGGAAACCCAGGGAAAAGGGGAAAGCTCAGGGAGAAAGGGGAAAACCAAGGGAAAAGGGGAGAAACTGGGGGTTCTGGGCTGGGGTAGGGAGGGAAAATTGAGGGGAAAGTGGGAAAGTCATGGGAAAAGTGGGAAAGCTGGGGATTCTGGGCTGTGATAGGAAGGGAAAATTGAGGGGAAAGCAGCAGAAAATTGAGGGAAAGTGGGAGAATGAGGATCCTGGGCTGTGGTGGGAAAGGAAAATTGAGGGGAAAAGTAGGAAAATTGAGGTGAAAGTGGAAAAATTGGAGTTCTGGGCTGTGATAGAAAGGAGATTGAGGTAAAAGTGTGAAAACTAGGGAGAAGGCAGAAAACTCAGGGAAGGGGGAGGGAAAACTCAAGGAAAAGTGTGAAAATTGAGGGAAAAGTGGGAAAATGGAGGGGAAAATGGGACATGGGGGTTGTGGGCCGTGGGCACCGTTGTAGGAGAGCACGGCGCTGTCCTCGTTGTCCGGGCCCTCGGCGCCGGCGTCGTCGCGGTCGCAGTTCACGAGCAGCACGGCCCCATGGCCCTCGGGGCCCCACGTCCAGCTGGTCTGGGGGACACGGAGCAGGGCCAGGGGGTCAGCTGGGAATTCCCAATCCCACTGGGATCTGGGGGGCAGCTGGGAATTCCCAATCCCATCAGGATCTTGGGTTCAGTCAGGAATTCCCAATCCCATTGGGATCTGGGGACTCAGTTGGGAATTCCCAATCCCACACTGGTTCCTGGCCCCTCTGGATACCTTGTCCAGCAGTGTCCGGCTCACGGCCCCGCTGCGGTTGACATCAGCATCCAGCGACACCTCTGTGGGATAGGGATGGGATGGAAAAAGGGGAAATCCCAGGAATGGGGTTGGGGAACAAGGGCTGGGGGCCGTTCCCCCCTTACCCACACAGGTGAGGTAGAGCAAGGCCCGGCCCACGGGAACCCCGCCGGCCTCACGGAAATAGGAAATCCTGACCTGCAATGAGGAGCGGGGCTGGAATGCCAGGATCCAGCAGGAATCCCAACACCCATCCTGGCACCCCGTGGCAATGCCAGGATCCATCAGGATCCAACTCCCACCTTCTCGTCGCCCACGTCCTTGCTGGGAGCGTCCATGGCCAGCAGCAGCTCGGGGCTAGGGGCCAGGGGCCAGCGACTGACGCTCGAGGGCAGCTTCACACTCTGGGCCTCGTGCAGCAGCCAGAGCCTCACCCCCGGCGTGGCCTGAACCTGGAAAGAGACGGCGCCCCGCGGAGCCGAGCTGGGAACGGCCAGGGACAGCGGTCAGCATCCCGGGAATGGTCAGGGACAGCGGTCAGCATCCCGGGAATGGTCAGGGACAGCGGTCAGAATCCCGGGAATGGCCAGGGGACAGCAGTCAGCATCCCGGGAATGGTCAGGGACAGCGGTCAGCATCCCAGGAATGGCCAGGGGACAGCGGTCAGAATCCCGGGAATGGCCAGGGGACAGCGGTCAACATCCCAGGAATGGTCAGGGACAGCGGTCAGCATCCCAGGAATGGCCAGGGGACAGCAGTCAGCATCCCGGGAATGGTCAGGGACAGCGGTCAGCATCCCGAGAATGGCCAGGGGACAGCAGTCAGCATCCCGGGAATGGTCAGGGACAGCAGTCAGCATCCCGGGAATGGCCAGCCACAGGGGTCAGCATCCCAGGAATGGCCAGGGGACAGCAGTCAGCATCCCGGGAACAGAGAGGGGACAGCAGTCAGCATCCCGGGAACAGAGAGGGGACAGCGGTCAACATCCCAGGAATGATCAGGGATAACGGGGAGAGAGCAATCAGCATCTCGGGAGCAGCAAGAGGACAGCGAGGGGATCAGCATCCCTGGAAGGGCCAGGGACAACAGGAGCTCTGCCAGGAGCAGGGTGGAAATTCAAATATTCCCGGGAAATGCAACCTCAGCAAGGGCTGGGATGTGGAATTGGGATAAAACCTTCAATGGGAACAAATCCCGGGGTTTGGAATATCAATGAGCCCTGGAAAATTCAGATATTCCCAGAAAATGCGATTTCAGCAAGGGCTGAGATACGAGATTCTGGTAAACCCCTCAAAATGGAAAAAAAAAATCTGAATTTTTTAATATCAACAGGTCCTGGAAATGCAAATATTACCAGAAAATGCAATTTCAGCAAGAGCTGTGATACTGAATTGGGATAGAACCTTCAGTGGGAAAAAAATCCTGGGGTTTGGAATATCAACAAGTCCTGGAAAAATCAAATATTCCTGAAAAATGCAATTTCATTATGGGCTGAGATGTGGAATTGGGATAAATCCTTCAGTGGGAAAAAAATCCAGCAATTTAGAGTGACAGCAAGAGGTGCAAAATGCAATGAATCCTGGGCAATGCTGCTGCAATAAATCCTGCAATGTTCAGTGGCAGGAGATCCTTCAGTGTGGAACAAATCATGAAATGTTGAACATCAACAAGTCCTAAAAACTGCAAATAATCCTGAAAAGTGCGACTGTCGCAAGCCCTGAGATATGGAATTGGGATAAAATCTTTAATATAAAAAAAATCCTGAAATTTAAAAAATTTACAATAGCAATAAATCATTGAAAATGCAAATAATCCTGGAAAATATGAAGGCAACAAGTGCTGCGATGTGAAACTCATAAATCCTTCAATGTGGAACCAACCCTGAAATTTAGAATTGTGAGAAGTCCGAAAAACGGAAATAACCCTGGAAAATATGACTGCAGCAAGCCCTGAGATATGAAATTTGGATAAAATCTTTCATGTGAACTAATTTTGATATTTAGACAATTTTTAGAATAGCAATAAATCATTGAAAATGCAAATAATCCTGGAAAATGCAAAGGCAACAAGTGTTGCTTTGCACCTGGGAATAAACGGGAAGAAACCCCACAAAAATACCCTCAGGGATCCCTCAAAAAACCCAAATCCGAGGACATTCCAGGTGCAAAGCGCACCCGGGAATAAACCGGAACAAACCGCACAAAAATATTCTCAAGAACTCCTCAAAAACCCCAAATCCGAGGATATTCCAGGTGCAAAGCGCACAAGGGAATAAACGGGAACAAACCGCGCAAAAATATCCGCAAGAATTCCTCAAAAACCCCAGATCCGGGAATATTCCAGGTGCAAAGCGCACCAGGGAATAAATGGGAATAAACGGGAATAAATCTCACAAAAATACCCGCAGGGATCGCTCAAAAGCCCCAAATCCGGGGATGAGCCGCGCGGAGCTCCCGCGCTCATCCCGGCGGCGTTGGGGAAGGATCTCCCCAAAATCGGCGCTTCCCGAGCGCAGCCGGGCAGGCCGGAGCTCCAGGGGAGCGGCGGCTCCGTGCCCGGGGAGGCGGAAAATCCCAGCCCGGGGCAGCGGGAGGGGACGGGAAGTGAACCCCGAGCGGGAATCGGGGAACAAAATCCCGAACGAAATCCCGAGGGAGAGCTCCGGGGCCGGGCTGGAGCCAGGGCCGGGGGGGCTTCGCTCTCGGCCCTCCCCCGAAAGGGAGAATGTTTCTTAATTATTTATTTATTATTTCTGATTTCTTATTATTTCTGATTTCTTGTTTCTTATGTATTATTTCATATTTATTATTTCTGTTTCTTGTTTCTGAATTCTGATTTCTTATTTCTGATTTCTTATTTGTTATTTCTGATCTCTTTTTTGTTGTTTGTTTCTGATTTCTTATTTCTTGTTTCTGATTTCATCCCGGCGGGATGAGGAACGCAGCTGAAAACCCCAAAAAGGGCTTGTGGCACCCCAAAACTGACAAAATCCCGCTGGGAATTCTGCGGTGCTGCTGCTGCGGCCAGGGCTGGAGAGTCTGTGAGGGACGGACAGCGGGATGGACACGGGGACGGACAATGGGATGGACACTGGGATGGACAGTGGGATGGATACTGGGAAGGGCAGCGGGAAGGGATAGAAAGAAGGGGCAACGGGATGGACACGGGGATGGACAGCAGGATAGACAGAGGGATGGACAGTGGGAAGGGACAGCAGGATGGGACAGCGGGAAGGGGCACCGGGAATCCCACCCCTCCCGGGCCAGCATCCCCTGGGAAAAGCTCCCGGAGCAGCAGCATCGCCCCCGCCCCACGCGCGCTATTTTCGGGCTCTGGTTAATGGGATCAAGGGGGGAAAGCGGATTTGTGCCCCGCGCTCACCCGCACACGTCCAGGGCCAGCTCGGTGCCCAGCACGCACACGGTGCTGCCGGGGCGCTGCGTGGACAGCTGGACACGGCGCTGCTGCGCCATCGCCGCCAGCCCGGGCACCCTCGGGTGCCGCGCCCGGCCCCCGCCGGGGATTTATAAAGCCGGGCTTCTGGGAGGGGATCAACCCAAGCCCGGCTTAATCCCACCTCCGGGCTGGGTGTGCGCGGGTCGGAGCGGGGGAAGCGGCCCGGGACACCCACGGGATGTCCGGGGGGCTCCGGGGGGAGCTCGGGCAGCACAAAGGGGCGCGGGGGGAGCGGTCAGCGCCCGGCCCACGCCGTGAAATATTCACCGCGACACCCGAGCCTCGGGGGCCGCGCCAGCGCCGCGCCCGGCCGGGTCTGATTTCTTTCTGCTGAAAGGTTTCATTTGTTCAGGCGGGACAATGCGCTGGAATTCCTCCTCCGGGGAGTGCTGGAGCTGTGGGGCGCTGCCGGGGAATGTCACCTGCGCTGGGGACAGCGGACCCCCGGCGGCTTTAATCGCCTTTGTTTTAATTAAACCCTCGGCTGCGCGTGGGAGAGGAGAGCCCTTTGTCCCTGCAGCTGTTCCCAAACCCCCTCCTCGCGGCGTCACGCGCGTTCCGGATTTAATGTCGCTGCTCGGAGCCCGGGAATGCCAGCAAGGACACGGCCCGGGGAATGGGGGTGGAAACGGGCTCAGAAATCCGCTTTTGGGGCAAAAAGGGGGCGGGCGAGTGGGACGTGTGGGATGCTTCTGCAGCGCCGCAGGAGCCCGACTGCGCCTCCGAAACGCTGCCGGGAAAGCGAATTGCCCAAAATGAGCGCGTCCGGCCCCAGCACGGCAGCGGGGCTGCGCAAGGCCGGGTCGTGCCCGGGCCACTGGGCGGGTTTCGGTTCCCGGGGCGGTGCCAGGCGGGTACGGGGAAGTGTTGCGCTCCGGTGGAGACAAAGAGCGAAGGGACACGGAAATCCCTCCTGGAGAAGGTGTGAAAAAATCCCGAGCAGGGCACAGGGAGTTCCTGCAGGCTAAAAACCATGTTCCACAGCAGGAAGCGATTTTTTGGCTGAAGCACGGAATTCTGGGGGTGTGACCCCGTGACTCCGTGACCCCGCGGCCGCGGGATGGGGCCCGCACCCCCCAGAGCATGCTCCCCACCAGCCCCAAACCAAACCCCCTGCCCAAAACCAGGCTACAAACGGGATTCTCACGCCGGGAGCGGAGGAGAGAAGGACGAAAGACGGGGAAGCGCTGCCCCCTCAGTCCGTGAAGCTTTATTGGCCAAACCCGTGCTTTGGGTGCTTTTCCAGCGCAGGAAATGCACCTTCCCCTGTAGGACCCTGCCCAGGGGGCTCAGGGCACCACGTGCCACCACTTGAAGGCGAAGGGCTTGCGGCGCACGTTGGTGCCGCAGTGCACGTCCCCCGACAGGACGTGGTAGGAGAAGAAGTCGTCGATGAAGGTGCAGGAGAGGCCCAGCGGCTCCAGCAGCTCCCGGACCCGCTGCTCCAGGCAGCAGCGCCCGCCCACCACGGGCCCGAAGGGTTTGGGGATGCCCAGGTGCCGGCCCAGCACCAGCATGTTCACCTGGAACAGCGCCGACATTGCGACACGGATCGGGGCCAGGGTTTAGGGTCGGGGCAGAGTTGCGGGATCAGGGTCTCACCATGTCCGGGAACAGAGCGTCGGCGCGGGAGTTGGTGAGGATGAAGAGCTGTGGGATATCCACGATGTCCTGCTCGCTCAGCCCCAGCTCCTGCTTCAGCAGGTCGCGGTTCCAATCGATGCAGCGCTGCGGGAAGGAGCTGGAACTGCCATCCCCACCCACGGGCCCTTGAGGATCCTGCCTGCATCCCACCCCATCCCCGGGAACAACCTCCCACTCCACCCCACCCCATCCCGACCTCCAACCCTCTCCCAACCTCCCACCCCATCCTCTCCCTTCACCTGCCACCTCTGTGTCCCTTGGGGCATCTCCCTCTCCTCGCCCACTCCGGCCATTCCCCAGGACCCCCAGACCCCGTCCCTGCCCCCAGGGATCCCCCTGGACTGGAGGAGCGGGAATCCCCCGGATCAGGGATCCCCACCCACCTGCACGTGCCGGTTGTCGCTGCGCAGGGACTCGTCCGCCAGGATCTCATCGATGCTTCTCTTCTCAGTGCCCTTCAGCCCTGGGGACAGCGTGGGATAGTGAGGGACAGCAGGGATGGGCACTGGAGATGGACAGAGGGGATGGACAGTAGGATGGACAGCGGGGTGGGATGGATAGAGGGATGGACAATGAGATGGGACAACGGGAAGGGACAGCAGGAGGGACAGTGGGGATGGACAGTAGAGATGGACACGGGAATGGACAGCACAGCGGGGATGGACAGTCGTGATGAACAGTGAGGATGAACACTGGGATGGACACTGGGAATGGACAGCAGGAAGGGGGCACCAGGAAGGGACAGCAGGAATGCCATCCCTCAGGGATGTCCTCAGCCACTCCTCACCAATGAACTGCGTGGCCTCCCCGTGGCCCTGCTGCTGCTTCTCCTTGAAGAGTTTGTAGCAGGCGTTGGGACTGGCCAGGAGCAGCCGGAATCCCTGCGGGACAGAGCCCGGGGGTCACCCCTGAATGTGGGGGGGATAAAACACCCCAGAGTCTGGCTGGGAGGCACCAAATCCAACCCTGGGTCACGGATGCCCACAGTGATCCCAAATCCGTCCCCAGGCTATGAGATGCACACAGAGATCCCAAATACAGCCCTGGGGCCATAGGCTGACCACGGTGATCCCAAATCCAGCAGTGGGGCCATGGGATGCCCATGGAGATCCCAAATCCAGCCCTCTGGGCCACCCCAAAGGGGCTCCATCCCCCAGAGAACCCGGAAGGACAGACAGCTGAAAAAGGGGATTTTTGGGGTGTTGCCAAGAGCCATGGGGAGGCTCTGGGGTCGGCACCTTCCTGTCGAGGGCAGGGACGAAGGTGAGGAACTCGTCCACGTGGCCCACGCTGAGCCACTCGGAGTAAACCTCGAGCGGCGCCTGCACCGTCTGCGCGAACAGGAAATCCCGCACGGCCCGACACATCCTGCGGCCCGACGCCCTGCAGGGACCGGGACAGGGACAGGGACAGCGCAGTGGGCACCGCTGCCCGACACAGAAACCATCCCTGGCACAAAATTCACTCCCCGGCACAAAATCTGCTCCCCTACCCCAAAACTCACTCCCCTCAAAATTTACCTCCCTTCCCCAAAATTCGCTCTCCTCAAAAATTCACTCCTTCGCCCAAAATTCACTCCCCTTCCTCAAATCTTGCTTCCCAGCTCAAAATTCGCCCCCTTTCCCAAAATTTGCTCCCCTCTCCAAAACTCGCTCTCCTTCCCAGAATTCACTCCCTTCCCCAAAATTCACCCCCTAACAGCATCAAAAATTTCATTTTTATCCTGGGAACAGGCTGGAAGTGCCCCAAGCTGTATTACAGACATCCACATATTTAAATACATATAATCACAAAAATAATAGATTGTTCTACTTTCATATAGATTTATCTGCCTAATAGCCCAATTATGTATCATTATGTCTGTTCTATATTAATATATCGCTGTGTTGTATATGAAGTGCATTAATATATGCACATTGTATAAATATATATTGCTAAATCCCTGTATTATATAAATATATCAATATAAATATGTATTACTAGTCCCTGTATTATCTATACTAAACCCCTACATTATATAAATATATAATACTAAATCCCTATCTTATAAAAATATATAACTAGATCCGATATTATATAAATATATCAATATATCTCCCTATATTTTAGATAAATACACGGATATATCCCTATATTATATAAAAAGTGTGTTAATATATACATGTTATATAAATATATAATGCTAGATCTCTATCTTCTATAAATATATAGTATAAATATATATTACTAGATCCTTCTATTATATAAATACATGAACGTATCTCCCTGTATTTTGGATAAATCCATTAATTTATCCCCATATTTTCCCCATCTCCAGGCCGTGTCTATCCATAGGGATTGGATCATTCCCTGCCCTGTCCCGCTTTGGGCTGAGCTCTTCCCATCCCTGTGATTCCCAAATCCCAAATTTTCTCAGCCAGAACCGGCTGGGGAAGACGTTAATTAAATCCCTGGTAATGAGGGATAATGACGGCCCCAGTGGGGCTGGGAAATCCCATTTTCCTGCCTCTGGAAGCAGCGAGCCCCCGGCTGGGACCCGACGGTTTTTTGGGGTCAGAGCAGGCGGGATTGGGTGAGGGAGTTGTTTTTTTCCGGAAAATGCGCTCCTTTGTGGAGGGTTTCTGCAGGGAGCTTTGTTCCCGCGGGGCTGCCAAGCACTGCCTGCCCTGGGCACAACAATTCCCGGTTATTCGGGATTTCACCCTTTCCTGGGCTCCCCCGCTCCTCTCCGAAAAGAACAAATCCAAGCGCAGGATAGGGGGAAAACGGGGGAAAAACCGGGAAAACAGGGGAAAACCGGGAAAATGGGAAAATGAAAAAAACGGGAAAACGGGAGCGGCGGCCGGGTTTTGTGCGGGTCGGAGGAGCAGCCGGGGGGTTGCCTGTAAAATCTGGGGTTTGGTGGGGTCGGCCCCGGGTGTTTTTCCTCCGAGAGGTTCCCGAGGGACGGTTTGGGAGCTGCGGAGCGAGGGGAGCCTCACCAGGGCAGGGGGCTGCCGATGAGGATCCGCCCCAGAGGGTACTCCTTGCCCCGCACCGTCACCGGCGGGCTCACGTCCAGGTTCCCGAAGGAGTCCAGGCTGGTCACGCTCTTCCCGGGGGGCTCCCGGGTCACGTAGCCGAAATCCGGGCCCTGGAAAAGAGGGAAGAGGTGCCAAGGATGTCCCGTGCGGGGATTTTGGATGGGGAAAGGCTGATTTCAATGCAAGGACACACCAGGATCTTCTTAAAAGCGAAATCCTTCAGGCCTCTGTTCCTGGGAGAGTCGAAGACCACGGGGAAGGTTTTGTGTGGAGCTTCCACGTAGCCGAACTCCAGCTCATCCTGTGGGAAGGAGAGGAGGAGGAGGAGGAAGACGCTGGAGGGTGATAGG